GGGAAGGTAGTTCTTACAATAAAAGGCCTATTGACTAGCAGTTTGTCTATTATAGTATAAAGGTTAGGAACCAAAAGATGTAGAGGCTCAAGTATGTCATTTATTGTTCTTAAGTCCTGGACCAAATTTCATCTACCACTGGGTTGTTTTACAGCTTGGAAGTCCGCATGCAAGGCAGAGGTGAAGTAAGGAACTGCTTAATAGGTTTTCCATCAATTCCAACAACTAAGAAATAGTGAGAAGAGTTGGGACCTCAGATCACCTTTTTTTGGAATGGGAATACATATGAATCTCTTTCAGTCAGTTGGCCAGATTGTTGTCCTCCAGAGTTCTTGGCAGAATCTGGTGAGTGTATCCAGAGCTGCATCTGTTCAATTGAAATATGTCAATTGGTATGCCATCTATTCCTGGAGCCCTGTTTTTTGCCAATTTCTTCAGAGCAGTTTGAATTTCCTTTCTCATCACCATTTCCTCTTCTTCATATGTTGTTTCATGAGACTTTTCTATGTCAGTCAGTTCTTTTTGGTATGGTGACTCTGAGTACTCCTTCCATTTTCAAATGATGCCTCCTGGGTCATTCAACATTCTGCCAACAGCATCTTTACTACCAATAATGTATTAATTCAAAATATTTACTAACTAGAAGAGCTAAAATTCATACCAAAGCGGCCTGGTACCAGCATTAGTACCACTCATGGCCTTAACTACAATTCTGTGCTTATTTAACTCAAATAAATATGTTTGACGATGTTATGCTGTTCTTATCTACCATTGAGTCATCTGTGATTCATAGCTACCCTCTATACAATAGCTCTGAACCTCGCTCTATCTTGAGCCAGTGTCACTGTCTCTGATATATCTACCCCCATAACCTCAGTTACTATGTCAATTCATCTTTTCAAGTGTCTTCCTCTCTTGCACTGTCCCTCTACCCTTCCAAGCATGATGCCCTTGAGTGATTGGTTCCTCCTGTCTATGTGCCCAAAGTATGTGTGACAGAGCTTCAAAACCCTTGCCTCCAAGGATTAGCTTGGTTTCGCCCTCTCCAGGACTGATTTGTCTGTTATCTTGATGGTCCATGTTGTTGTTGTTGTTGTTATGTGCCGTCAAGTGGTTTGCAACTCAAAGTGACCCTATGTACAACAGCCCTAAACCCTGTTCTATCCTGTGTCAATCGCATTGCCTCTGACACACCCATCCCGATTACCCCAGTCTCTGAATCAATCCACTCATAGAGGGTCTTCCCCTCCTGTGCTGTCCCTCCACTCTGCCCAGCATGATGTCCGTCTCTGAGGACCTGTCTCTCCTTACAACATGTCCAAAGTATGTCAGATGAAGTCCCAGAATCCTTGCCTCCAAGGAGTAACCTGGTTTAACCTTCTCTAGG